TTCCTTCCTTCCTTCCACAGATACTTAGTGAGAGCTTGCATCAGGTTAGATGCTGAGGTTATAGCATTGGACACAATGAACACAGTCCCTAGTTTAAAATCTAATGAGGGAGACAGACATTAATCCAATACCTTTATAAGTAACAGGGTCCTATTTCACACAATATGCAAAGGTCCTGTGGCACAAAGGGAACTGGGCACCAGCCAGTGAGATTAGCACAGAGGACAAGGAAATGCAAGAAGCAAGGAGATAAGCTTCCCACTTCATAGATAAGCTGTGTTCACCTGAAGTGGGACCTGAGGGCCACAAGGCCTTGCTCCTTAGAGAAGGCCCCTAGCAACTACAGGAGGTGTCTCCACCTGACTCTTGAGAGAATATGGACCCTCATTGCCAAAGTACCCTGGATTCCGGGCCATCTGCACTCCAGGCCATCTGGCAGCTCCCTTTGCCCTCTGTCTTCACACATCACACCTCCCACCTTCCCTGCACCTGCCCCCAGGCCTACCATTTCATGTGCTTGTCATGGTCTGGGCAGGCAGAGGATGCTCCTCATCTCCTTGGCCCTTGCTAACTCTTGATTATTCTTCAGGATTCAACTCAAGCTCTTCTTCAAGTTTCCAGCTCTTAGGGTCCTTTGTATCATGTTACACCAATATGTCTACTTTGTGTCTCTGTTTTCCCACAGACTCAGGAGCAGAAACTGAGTCTGATTCTTTCATTCATCTTTACATTTTCAGCAATAAACAGAATGCTTTGCTCCATACAGGAGGCCATCAATAATGATGCCACTTAGCTAGGTTTCTATCCAGTGGCAAAAGGATGCTCTCACAGTGGTGAATGGAGTCCTCTCTCATGCCATCAGTCGGGGAGGCTACAGGCAAGACTGACAACTGAGAACAAGGCTCCAGCAGCCTCCTGATGTGGTTGAGCCAGAGAGTACAGGTGGGTAGGGACGAAGGAGAAAACTATGCTCACTCTCCTCTGTATTCTGGGCCCTGCGTGCAGATTCATGATGGCACTTGGCCTGCTATTTGGCCTTGACTTGGACATGGATGAAGTCCTGGGTGGGTGCTTATCTTTCTCCAGAATTCCAATAAAGCTTTGTGCAGCTCTGAAACATAGGTGGGATGAAAGGGTGCTTGTACAAATAACAGCTCCAACACCTACCATTTGCAGAGTGGCTCCTGAGGGCCTGGCTCTGGGGCAGGGACAGTATAGTCCGTCCATGCAACCTCAGCCTCAGGGTGATCCTGAACTATAGCAGGGTTTCTCAACTCACATTTTTTTTCTTTTTTTAAATTACCTATGCCCTTAGGAGCCTTTCCAGAAATTTCCTCCTAATTGCCTCCACTCTCATGAAATTTTAATATCATAGATACACTTAAATCTGCTTATATATTGCATGTGAATCTTATTCTTTTTAAGAACAAATTTTGCCCTTCCCCACAAGAACCTAATTCACACCATTTGGGGTAACAGAGTCCCACTGAGAATGTACAGTACAGACTCTCTAAGCATCATTTCCACTTTCTAGAAGAGACTGAGCCTCAGGGACACTGACTAAGTTGTTCAAGGCCACACATCCTGGAAGGGATACAGCCAGAACATGCCCCCAGCCTGATCTGTCTCGAGAGCCCAGGTTCTGGGCACTCTACTCCTAGGAAGAGATGAAGGAGAAGAGAAATGACAGTTGCCCATGTCAACCCCCTTGGGCCTCTCAAGAATCCTGTGGGTGAAGGCACACTGGGGGCCACATCCACCCCCAGCATCTGGCACTTCTTAGGCTCCGTGTGTCACAGCACCTTCCTGCCAGGCCAAGGAGCTGCCTGCACGGGGGAAGGAAGGCATTTGCCTATTTTCAACACCACCTGAACTCAGGAGCAGATGCTTT